ATACCCTCAGGCAAATCATCGAGTCCTTTGAGGCCCCAGAGCTTCGAAGTCGCAATGCCCACTCCTCCAGTGGTGCCAGCCTCTGAACGACCTGAGGGGGCAGCAGGAGTGAGGAGTGATACCATGCCAGCCTTGACCAGCGCCTGCTGAACGTCCACCAAACGTAGCTCCGTCTGATGGTGCTCTTGGAAAACGTAGATGTCGGCATCCACAGAGTCGCAGAGCTCCAGGAAGGGCCTTCTCGTGACCTTACCCCTGTCCCCGCACTCGATGCCCCACGAGGTGATGTTGGCCGTACACAGCTTCCATACCTCAGGCCGACGGGCCGCAGGAGTCTCCTCCTGCACCGCAGGAGTCTCCTCCTGCACACTCTCGCCTCGAACTCGTCGATGGCCAGTAGCCCCAGCCCGCGCCGCCAGGGAGCGCCACCTGCCTCGGTGTGAGGCGGGCTCAGGCAGGCGGCGTCCAGCAGCTGCAGCGCCGACCCCGCTACCCCGACGGGGGTGGGGCACCAGCGACATCGCGGTCAGCAGGCATAGGAACATCAGCAGGAACATCAGCAGCCGCAGGGCCAGGCGCGGCCGAGGGGGCCGCCGCCGCCGCAGCCTCTGGGCCTGGCGCGTCCCTCCTGGGCCTCTTGCTGAGGGCTGAAGGGTTCTGCAGGAAATCGAGCATGGTCCTGTAGAGACCTTCGTACTGCCCTGCCTGTCCGCCCTCCAGCAACTCAGTAAGTTGCTGCTTGCAATCCTCCGCCACACGTGAGTCCGAGGGTGCCGCTGGGGCTGGCGAAGGGCCGCTGCCCGACATGGCACGCTGCGCGGCCTCCTCGGCCTGTGCCTTCCGCCGTGCTTCCTCCTGCTCCTGGAAAGAGGCCCCAGCAGCAGCCAGGTCGCCCAGGAGGTCCACCGCGGTGCGGAGCTGGTCCGCCTTCGCCACTCTGAACGAATCGGGCAGATGGCCGAACAGCGTCTCCACCAGCCCGTTGACAGCCGCCTTGCAGTCATCACCAGCAGGGTGAAGAGCAGCACGTCGATGGAGCCTCTGGAGCTCCTCCTCTTCCTTCTTGACCGATTCCGCCAGAGCCGCCTGGGATGCAACGCAGTCCTCCAGGTCCTGCTCCAGCTCCGTGATCTGTTGACGGAGGTTGGCCTCCGTCGCCTTCGACGCAGTAAGCTGGCCCTGGAAGTGGGCCAGCTTGTCCTGATGGGACCGAACTCGCATCCATGGCGGTGGGCCACGTTCGTCAGGCTGAGCAGCAGCAGCGGAGGGCACCTGAGCCTTGGCGGCCACCAAGAGCGGGTGGTCGTCTGCCAGCCCAGCAAGCGTGAGCTGCTCCACTGCAGCCGCGAGGTAGTCGCGCTGCGTCTGCTTGCCACCTGTGTCCGATCCTTTGCCACTGCGCTGCTGGGCCGAGCCGCCCTTCCCACTCCCAGACTGGGACTGGTCAGCACTCGTGCCTGGGCTCGACTTGGCCTTGCGGCGCGTGGACTCCACCTGTTGCCATGCCTCCTTGGACTGCTGCTCGCCTGACCAAGGACGGGGGGGCCCCTTGACCGTGTCCCGAACCGGGTCGTCGCGGAGCCACTTCTTGCAACGATAGCAGCGAGCCCAATCCACCAGATTATACTGATAGCCACATGAGCTCTTGCCATAGCACGTCTTGTAGCCGCTCTGGGAGCGGGTATGGTGTCTGCTCTGGGAGCGGGGCTGCGGGGGCGCGGGGACCATGCCACAGCAGCTCGAGAGCGGGAGAAGCCAAAATCCCTCGTCTGGCCTGGCAGACGAGGAGGAGCACTGTGGGGGCCGCTGCTCCCCCCTTGCAGTGAGGCCAGGTCCTGACC